AGCCATTTTATCAAAGATAAGATAATCTGATGAAATATTTATATAACAGCGTCAAAAAACTTATAATAATACAACAAGTAAATGTGTACGTGTCCTATAAGAATTCTAATCGTAATAGATTATGAATCGATTGTATCGAGCTGCTGCAAATTTAATTCAATCCAATTGTAATAAATGTTAGACCTCTAAAAAAAAAAAGTACTTACTTTATTGTAAATACTTACAATTATTTATATTTTGGAGCTTGGATCTACATAGATAATAAAATGAATTTTCCGATACGCAGTATTATTACTTCGAACTTACAATTAGCGCATCAAACAATGTGGACATAACCAACTTCAGGGACAAAAAATCGAAAAAAAAATTTTGACTTCAAAGTAGCAATTTCCAAGGTCAAGAATCCTTTCAGGAATTTTTTCATTATTTTTTTCAAACTCAGCGCATCAAAAAACATAGATATACATTCTTTGAAGCTAAAGTACTAAAAAATATATATTTGACCTTGAAATGATGATTTTCAAGGTCAAAGACCTCTTCAGGATTTTTTTTACTATTTTTTCATACTCAGCGTATCAAAAAACATGTATATACATATTTTGAAGCTTACATAGCAAAAAAACAATTTGACCTTGAAATGATGATTTTCAAGGTCAAGGACACATTTGAAACTTTTTTTACTATTTTTCTGTTATTACGCGCATCAATTTCACCTTAAAATTATCAAATAGTTTGTGTTCGTTGGGTGGTCNAAATATCGACCAACCCCGTCTTCTAAAGGTTAATAGACGCTAAACTCGCGGCCCTGAACCTCCCCGTTTGGGAGGCAGGACGCGCTCTGCTAGCCGGGGAGGGGGCCGCGACTCTTTGGTGTCGCGGAAGAGGCTTCGGGGTGGGCCGAAAGCCAAGGCCAAAGTCGACCGCCAAGGCTAAGGCCAAGGCCAAATCCTTGGCTCCACTCCAGCCCGCGAAGAGCGCCCCGAAACCCTCGTCCTCCACCCTTGGAGGCAAAAAATTGTGGAGTGTAGTGGTGGGCCGTAAGGCTTGACGGGCGGTTGGGTCAGCGGCTTCTGCCGCTTTCGGGCGTTCACTCAAGGGAGGAGCACCCGCCCCAGGGACAAGCGCGATGGCGCAACCCGCTGGAGACAAGAAAAAGAAGAGGATAAGGCTCCGGGTGCCTAAATCGGCAGCAATCACGCTGTCAATTGATCCAGCACACCCCGGAGCCTTGAGTGTTGCGGAGGCGGTGCGCCGATGCCGTTAGGCAATACCATTATCTTCAGTGGGTATCGCCCACGTGCAACCTCGGCGCACTATGACCGGTGACCTCATGATTGAGGTCACCGGTAACTCTATGGCCAAGAAGGCAGATGCCCTCTCCACCAGAATGAAGGAAGTCCTCCGGGATACGGAGGTCGTTGTTTGCCGCCCGGCGCGCAAGCGTGACTTGCGCGTATCGTGCATTGACGACTCCGTATCTCTGAAGGAATTAAAGTCAGCTCTGGCTTCGGCCAGAGGTTGCCGAGAGGCGGAGATCCGCTTGGGCAAACCCCGGACTCTGCCTTCCGGCTTCCGAAGAATCTGGGTGAAGTGCCCCGTGGTTGTTGCCAAGAAATTGGCAACAGACCGCATTGTAAAGGTGGGATGGGTACTTGCGCGCGTTGAGGCGCTCAAGGCCCGCCCCTTGCGGTGCTTCCGGTGCTTGCGCCCGGGGCACACGGAGCATTATTGCCCCAGAAGTGAGCCAGACCGCAGCGGCCGCTGCTACCGCTGCGATCTCAGTGGGCACCTGCTCCGGCAGTGCAAAGCTCCGGAGCCAAGATGCCCACTGTGTGGAGACCTGAGGCGTCCCTCCCGGCACGTACTGGAAAACCCCAGCTGCCACCTTCTTCTTGCCGCGGCTGGTGGCCTGGTCACAACGTTCGCGAATCCAGCCAGGCTTACTCGTGGGGTCGCCGCCTCTCCGACTCCATTACCATCCCGGGAAAAGGAAGAGAGTGCTCTTCCCTCTGGTTCCAGGGGGGGAGGACTTGTTTTCCCGGTTCTAAAGAGGACACTCTGTCTCCTTTGCTGCAAAGAAAAAGGAGGGCGACCTTCCCGATACTGTCGTCCTCTTCAGCTCCCTCTAAAAAGCTGAAGATGGACCCGAGCAGGGCGCTCACAGCCCTGCTCGGATCGGGAGGATCAAAGAAGAAGATCCGTCCTGGGCCTGCTTCCTTCAAGCCCAAGTAAGGGCTTGGTAGGCGGCAGCCCAGGGCCTGTGTAAGGGGGGGGGGAGTGACCCATAACACTGTGCTATGGCCAATTGACGGGGTCGAGCCACTTTCTCGGGGGTGTTTGACCCAGGACTTTGGTCCAGCGGCGGCCAAGCGGGGCTGTGTTTCCTCGTTTCGTCGCGAGGGGGGGAAGTATGAATAGCTTTCCTCCACCATAAGGTAATGGGGCGCAAGCCTACCGGGGTGCCTCTGGGTCAATCAGAAAAAGAGGTACCGGGGCAGCCCTAAAAAGGCAGAAGGTGGACACCGCAGGGGTTTTAGTGGGTATTTCTCGCCGGTGCGCGCTCTGGCAAGGTGAGTCCCACACTACCCTGGCCCACACCTAGTCTGGGTCAGAGTGTGCGTAAACGCATTTCCCCTGCGTAAAAGAAAAAAAATAAATTAAACTTCTCGGTAGAGGCACACCACCTTGACGTGGTTCCCAAGATTGAGTGCCGTGATGATCTGAGGGACTATTCCGGCGGGAACTTTGGTTCCTGGTAGGGTTTCCCTTGCCGGACAGGTTCTCAGTGAGCGGCCAGACTAAGAATGTACCTAGGGGAAGAAAACCCCAATTTCAAATTCGGGCAAGTCGGGCTTGTTAGCCAGGTTACGGCAACCGACCTAGGTTAGGTTCAAATTTGATATAAAACCGCTACTTTTCTTTCTAATGGGATGAGCGAAAAGCTAAGTACGGAATTACCGGACCAAGTCGACCGGACGGCCAGGTCCCAGCGCGGGGAGACTAGTGTCTCGGATGCCCCCGCGTCGTCATCCAATGACGGGCGGGTGGAGAGATGCACCGCAGGCCTCTCTACCTATTTGGTGCCTGCGAAGGCGGACGAGGTGCGCCCGGTTCGCACGAGGGGACGGGCAATCCCACGAGTTGTGTTGCGGCGCGTGGATTCGGCTGAGTCCATACGCTCTGTGGAGTCTCTGATCTCCACAGAGTCACTGGATGTCTCTTTCCCAGAGACGTCTGACGTAGGAATGGGTTCCTCTGGGGACAAGCCACATTCCCGCCAGATGACTCCCGAGAAGAAGGTCGCGGTTCACGTCGCATCTAAGTTATCCCAACCGGAGCGCCGCGGGCGCCCGCCAACCCATGGCCAGTATGTTGGCCTGGGCAAGGCGCGCGATGCGCTCTGGAAGTCTAAGCTCGAGAAGAAAGAGCGAGCTGCCGACAAAGCACGCCAACGTGCGTACGCGGCGGCTGTTAAGCGGCGTACGGACTCAGAGACGTCGGAGCGTACCTCCGACGCCGAGTCAGTAAAACGGCTTCGGCGCTCGTGCCTAACGGTGGGAGGATCGGACGTCAAGGTCGAGTGCACGACCTGTGCCACCATAGACCTGATGGATCTCCTTTACAAGGCCATCAATATCAGAGCGCGCACCCGATAACGCTCTGTTGGAGCGAATCGGGGCGTTAATTGACGCGAGGCTCGCGGCCCTGAACCTCTTCGTTCGAGTGGCGGGACGCGCGGGCTCTGCGGACAGGGGTGGAAGCCGCGGCGTTTCAACGTCGCGGGAAAGGTCTCGGGGGGGGGGACCGAAAACCAAGGCCAAAGCCAAGGCACAAGCCAAGGCTAAGGTTAAATCTTCGGTCCCGCCTCAGCCTGGGAAGGGTCCAACCCCCCCCCCCCAGCTTTTGCTGGTGGGAGTAGGTGTTTTGGGACTCTTGTCCTCTGTAGTCAGAGGCGAGGAATCCTGGAGTCAGATGGGTGATACTCTATTGACCACAGTACGATTCGACACCGCTCGATTCGACACAGATTTATTCGACACCAAATTATTCGACACCGTACGATTCG